GATTCTGTATGTATATATATATATAAATATATATATATATATACACACACACACTGTGTATATATATATACAGTATATAGATATAGTATATACGGTGTTTTTATTGTAACATTTATTGTAATATTTCGGTACTGTATATTTATTATTCTTACAGGGAAGTCAGTACTGGACATTCTCAGGGAGCATTTGGGACAGACTGTTGTGTTATTGGTACATTCGGTCTCCAGGTGGTCGGCGAGGTGTCTTCGCTGCACTGTCCCTCCGCAGCCAGTGTGGCACAGAATCTGGGCAAAGTCGCAGAGGCTTTGGTGATCCTACAAGATGTAAAAATCTGGTATGATATATAATCTTGCTGTATATATTGGCGGACATGCAAATACACAGGAATATGCAAATATGCTTAGTCTTCTGGGGGCACACTGAACGTACAATTGTTTACAATGTCCTCTTTCTATGAACAGATGCCCATTTAAGTCTAAGAGTGTTCAATACTCTGATCTTATCCAGTAAACCAGGGACAGCAAAACTTCAGCCTTACAGCTGTGGTGAAACTACAAATTCCATCATGCCTCTGGAAGTCATGCCTGTGGCCTTATGGGATCTGTAGTTCCACAACAGCCGGACCGCTAAAGTTTGGCTACCCCTGCAATAAACAATCAATGAGGGAATTTCTGTTACTTTAAATTTTTTTGGATCAAAATGAAAAGGAAACAGTGGGGCAGGTTAGGAAATTCCCTTATGCAAAACCTTTGACTGAATCTAGAACAGCCAGCAGCAGTATTCAAGTATAACTGAAGGTAAAACTTTTGTTTAGAATTGGATAGAGTGGTGAGGGGGTTAGAACCTCTTCCAGGCTTTACTGCTGTCTGTGGATCTGTGAGGGAGATTCACCCTCTCTAATTGTCCTGATCACTAATATCACTAATATCACTAATATCACTGGGATTGGAAGTAAAGGTAGATACAACATTTTGATTTGCCCCCAGAACAGGAATAGACAACTGTCCAAAGGGGCAATTTAAAGTTGTGTAACCTGTTCTACTCATCGGCCTGACTACCTGGCTGAGATCTTATCTGTGCACAGTTCAGTCATCATCATATAACATTGCTTACATTGAACAAGCATTTCTACCTGGTCATAAACACACCTCTGACACACAACTCTCTGGAGTTCAAGGTAGTCACGTGATGCTGGAATTTCTGAACAGGAACTATTTTGGTGATTTGGAATTACTTTACACAGAATGATAACTCGCTATGGACAAAAGCTAACACTTCTCGCACTTACAGCAAATTTGCCAAAACTCAGCAAAAAAACATAGCAGGAGGAGACGGCAAATGAATTCTGGGAAGGGGGCGCTGCCCATTACACTTCACCAAAACAAGGATTACCTTTCCCCTTAGTAACAAATTGATTACACCATACAAGTCAAATACTGAGAATTACACCCAGCATACAAATCTCTACATATAGAACAAGGACGGATAATGAGAATTACACCCAGCATACAAATCTCTACATATAGAACAAGGACGGATAATGAGAATTACACCCAGCATACAAATCTCTACATATAGAACAAGGACGGATAATGAGAATTACACCCAGCATACAAATCTCTACATAGAGAACAAGGACGGATACTGAGAATTACACCCAGCATACAAATCTCTATATATAGAACAAGGACAGATACTGAGAATCACACCCAGCATACAAATATATACATTGAGAACAAGGACAGATACTGAGAATTACACCCAGCATACAAATCTATGCATAGAGAATAAGGACAGATACTGAGAATTACACCCAGCACACAGAACAAGAGAAGTGACACTGTCCTCATTTAGAGACAATGTCCCTCATTTGGAACCAAATCTCCCTGCGTTTCAGTCCAGTGCGATCTGCAAAAAATGCTGCAAACACTAAATTTTGCAGATCGCACTGGACCGGAACGTAGGCACCCATGTGCCACACGTTCGGGTGCCGACGATCGCAACGCGGGCAGGGGGCGTGGCTGCGCTGCCATTGAGTTCAATGCACCAACACTGTCCCTCTAGCCCCCCCAAAAAACTGAGTCGGCCGCGTTGCGTTCCAGTGCATTCCAGAGGCCGAACGCACTGGAATGCACTCCTGATAGTGTGACAGGGCCCTTAACCAATCATTTGTGGCAATCATTTTAATGGTTCTCATAACTGGGGTCCTGGCAGGGTGTGTCAGTTGCCTCAGTACATTGTGCTAAAAAGTGTCCCTCTTTCTCATCTCAGAATGTTGGGATGTATGCAAATATACAGAATAAGGACAGATACTGAGAACTAACATCCAGTATACATATCTAGAAATGTCCCTCTTTCTCATCTCAGAATGTTGGGATGTATGCAAATATACAGAATAAGGACAGATACTGAGAACTAACATCCAGTATACATATCTAGAAATGTCCCTCTTTCTCATCTCAGAATGTTGGGATGTATGCAAATATACAGAATAAGGACAGGTACTGAGAACTAACATGCAGTATACAGCATAAATGGTACTGAGCAGAGTCCAAATATACAGAAGAAGAGAAGGTATAGAGCAACATCAATACATATAGAATAAAGAACTCGGGGGGGAATCTAAATCCTTGCAGTGTGGCCCGCTTTCGTCTAGGTGCGAGAATAACACTCAACCAAATTACCCGATTATACTGAGCCGAACCTCCGAGCTGGTTGTTAAACTCCCCCTCCACTCCAGCAGTCTAAGGTCCTGTGAGTTATCATGTTCAATACACTGTGTATAGGACATGAGGACAAGCGATGTACCATTGCTGAAGAGAGGCCGGAGAGGGCGCTACAACAGCCAGCTGGCTGCGAGGTTCAGGTGAGTACAACTAGGTAATTCAGTTTATTTTTACACCTAGATGAAACCGAACACTTAACCCTTGCAGTGTGGGGGAAGCCCTACAGCAAGGGTTAAGAAAATGTTTTTCTGGAATTCTCCTTTAAGAACAAATACCGAGAATTATAACCAGGAAATGACAAAATGTAAAACTATATTACAGGGCCAGTAATGTGAATGGTAGAAATCGGACCTCATAGTCTCTCAGCACTCCACTCCAGCTGCAGCTTGCTGTCACACAATGAACTCTGAGCTCTGAGATCTCCTTATTGATAGCAGCATCACTGAAAGCCTGAAATAGAAGCAGATGAATAATACGTTGGGGAATTTCACTCCTTCTAAATTCAAAACCTCAGCAGAAAAGTCCCAAAGTGATAAACATAATGAAAGTATCACCATTGGTTTTTTTAATTAAAGGGTAAGTCCATGCAAGTGATATTTCTGTTCGGGGTGGAACTTAGAGTGTTGAGTCAACTTGTTAAATTAAAAAAAAACATTTTATCAAAAATGTTAGGGGAAAGCAAGCGTTGGTGTAACTCACCCTGTCCTCAGATAGGTAGCTCTCCTCACTCAGTGTGCCGGGGTCCTCTTGTTTACACTTGGGGCAGATGGGACTTTTGTGGTTCCTGTCCAGATAAACATACCGATGACATTTCATTGTGTCACTCTGATTATTTCCCTACAGCTAAAGGGGAATTCTGACTTCTACAGTGCCCATATGACTTCCCTGAAATGTGGATGTTAACTAAATGAAGCTGGAATTACACATATGTGTTGTTATCTGCAGCCTTGAATACACCCGCTCTCTCTTAGTAGGAGACCTTCTCATGTATTACATTCACCTATGGAACATCAATACCAATTTATTGCTAGTGTGTAAGAAATAATATGTTAATCAGAAATTTTTTTTCTCTTCCTAAACTCTGAAATGAGGGCTACATACAGGGCCGGTGCTGCCACTAGGCAAACTAGGCAGCCGTCTTTGGTGCACTGCTGCTTAGGGCGCATTCTTGATCACTCACCCCCCCATGGCACCCCCATCTATTTCAAATTGCAAAAGCCAATAGCAGGCTGGCTATTGCACCCACCCATTGAACAGAGGAGCGGAACTGTATGGCAGAATTCTCTCCCAGGTCCGCTCCTCTGCTCAGTGGGTGGGTTTTCAATAGCCAGCCTGCTATTGGCTACTTCAATTTAAATTATATCCACCTGTTGCCTGCGGAAGCTATCTGGCAGGAGAATGGGGCCACCCGCAGGGGGTCGGCTGGGGAGAGTAGTAGCTGGTCTAGCCTTGCCAAAATAGTCTACCACTGGCCCTGGCTACATAGCTCTGCACTGTCTGCCCACCACCATGCAAGAAGGACCTCAACTACATTGATTGATTGGGTGGACAGATAGTTCACTTTAAGGTCATTGCAAAGTCCAAGGGGAAAGGCTGTTTGCATGTGGAAAGGCTTCTTCATAGTAAGAGCTGTGAAAATGTGGAATAGACTTCTTCAGGAACTAGTTCTAGCCAGCTGAAAAAAACGCTGGATGCATTCCAAAAGGCACAGAATATAACTGGATAATAACATTTATAAGTCATAACAACAGAGCTTGTTGATCTGATTTCTTTAGGGTAACAGAAAGGATGTTTTTTGAACCATGCTTTATAGCGGTTTGTTTCACCTTGTAGATAAAGTGTAGATAAAGGGATCTGCTTATTGTTATTATTATTATTATTATACAGGATTTATATAGTTTATGGAGGTTTTCTATTTACTTCTTTTTTTCTCTCTCTGTTGGTTGAACTCGATGGACTTGTGTCTTTTCAACCTAACTATGTACTCATTCTCCTCATCATAGCATAGCATGAACCAGGAAAACAATCTGAACCTATTGGAGCTTTCCCTGCTCAGTTCCTGCATAAACTATACTATCAGTCAGCACCTGGGTATTTGGTCACATGACCTCTGCTCGATGGATGCAATTTGAGCATCAGAGATCACAGGAGTAAAATGCCTAGGCTTTTGGTCACATGACCAGCACAGTTTGAACCCTGGAGCAGAATTTTACCCAAGAAAAAGAAATAATTTAGCGTTAGTTACTCTTCATTTAGCTATCCCAGCAAGAATGATAACACAGTATTATATTAAAGGGTCAGTCCATCCAAAAGTGATAGGAAAGTGGGTAGGAACAAAGCATTTGGCGGAGACAGACAGACCACATCTATGACTGACCTGATAATCCAGGCCAGACACGGTGCGCAGTATCGATGTCCGCACAGCGTCTGTTGCGCCTTCTTCAGGACGTTGTTGCAGTTACAGCACAGGTACTTGTTTCCAGGCGCATGGTCGCAGATTCTGGTGGGGTATCCGAAGACAAACTCATTCTCGTCTGGCTGAGAAGATGGGCCGCTTTTTAGTTTCGCCATAGTATAAGATCCCCAGAAGGTTGCAGGCTTATGCGTCTCTCTCGCTCTCCTTCTACTATGTGAACACTACGGATGTCACACAGGAATTAATACCAGCAAGCTTTTGCGGCTCTCTGCTGTCACTTTGTCCTCTGCTGGGGAAACCACTAGAAATTCCCCTGATTACTTCACTCACTGACTGATGAATGTAATTTCCCCATGCCGTACATGGTACACTCCACACTCTAACAGGAAGTAAGCATGCAGCATGGGACAGGTTGAGGTTTCGCCTTCTTGCATAAGTTGTACTGAAGAAAAAGAATATGTAGTAATAGCACAGTTATCGATTGTATTTGGGGGGGGGGGGATAGAACTGCATGATTTTATCATCTATTATGTAGTTCATATCTTAAAGTGTATAAAAAACTTTTTTTGTTCATTTTAGATGAAATGTCTATGAATTAAAACTCCTGTTTGTTTTTCATTGCTGTCTGTGTCACTGCTGGGGAGATTCAACCTCTCTATTTGATAGTGACATCCAACATTTTATAGTGGTCACCGGAACCGGAAGTGAGGGGCAATCTTACAATGAGGACAGTTGTTCTGGTGACTACTGCCTAAAGCCAGCTATACACAGAGCGAATTTGGTCCATTTCCAGCGGAATCGGCTGAAATTCAATCTGTGGATGTCTCATTTTTTGACTGACTTTTGTCGAAGGAGCCAGGTGGAAAGATGAGCAGTGACTGCATCCAATTAGCCCTGGGTGCCAGCTGTCAGAATACTATAGTTGGCAGGGAAGATTCCTTCATCCATTATCTTTAACATGGATGGGGAATTGGAAATCTCACAGTGTATGGTCAGTTTTAGTTTCTTGCAGAATCAGCTGGCCCCCTAGCATTGACCCTGATATCCTGGTTTAGGGTGGCTCCTTTCCCTTGCAGGGTCCTATGGAGTCACTCTCTTGTGTTTGCTAGTAAACTGTGTATGTCTCTCCACAAACACACAGACACAGCAAGGTAAGCCACCCCCCGCTCCTCCCTTCTCCAAGGTAGAAGATGAAGAGCTGCTACAGGCTACTCTGTCTCTTGTGAACTTGTACTGGACAGGAAGTTCAGGGAAGCTGAGAGAGTTGGAGCTGTTCAGAAAAATGATGACTGTAAGTGCTTTGACAATGCTAGGGGGCCAGCTGATTCTGCTGGGTGATGTATATTTGTTAGATCTGGATTCATTATTGATAAAAATGTTTGTGGGGAGTGACTTCCTGTTGTATCTCTAGGACTGGAAATGAAGGGAAATATCCACCATTGTAAAACAATGCAGCAATCATTCAACATGCATTTCTTGTGCGCATGTTGTGTTCGTAAAGAAGAAAAAGCCATTGCGATGCAATCTTTTGTATATAATTTTGTAGGGTGTAAAATTGGCTATGGGTCTGGGAATGCCATCCTTTGTCTATGTTCAGGTGACAGACCTTGACTATTTGGGCTAGGTAAATCACGGAAAAGATATTCAGAAGGGAATTTCAGTGAAAATCACGTCAAGACCATTGGCAGATCATGGGTTACAGGTAGTCGGTTTATATGCAAATAAGCAACTCTTGACCCCCAAGTGTTCCTTTTGGCAGTCACAGATTATCAGGAAGGATCAGAAGGCACAGGAGGGAGGGGGCAGCGCATCTATTACATGAAAAGTTGACATTTGCTAGTAACTTAAACTGCTTGTACCCAGCTCTTATTTAATTATAGGGTGTCCTATAGATGTAAGATTTCATCATATGCTCAGTTCAAAGGGCTAGGGTTCATGTTGAGCTGCCCATAGATTTTTGCACATAGAAATCTTACATGCAAATTCATCTCATAGCATACCAAAGTCATTGTTGCCTTGTGACTCTTTTTTTTAACATTTCCATGCCAGTAATGTCTCTAAGACAACACAAGAGATGAGGAATAGGTGTGCAGTGGCAACGTGATAACATCATAGCTCCGCTTGTGGTTTCCTGTGTATGAGCTGCTTGGCGTACAGAAGGTGGCATGGAGCCTACAAGTGTCATAGACGCGGTCACCGCCTCCGTCACATCGTACACTTGTTGCCTCTTCTGCTTCCTGATTTTCATTGTATGACTCTACTCAGAAAGTATCTGGACAAGAGGCACTGTTATGGGGAACAACAATGACATATCCCACAGTGTTCATAGAGTAATTGTACCATAAGATAGCATTGTGCTATTCACATCAGTCTCTGCACCAGATGAGCTTATACTCTAAAGTTCCCACTATAGTCACACACTATTAATATTTATATATTTATATAACGTTAATATGATTGGCGCTGCCATGGGGGACACCAAAAATCTTTATACCAGGAAGAGGGTCTTCGAGGGCAACTTTGACAAGACACAAATCCGGTAAATACCATGCTTGGGCGATGCCTTAAAGTGACACTAAACTCAGGAGTTGAGTCTTACAAATGCATTCAAGTACCCAAACTTGTAACAAAAATGTATCTTATTTGTGTATCACTCAGCTGTAGATCCTCAAATCATCTCTGAATCTCGATATACAGTATACTGTACTACATTGGCTACTTTAGAACACACACAGGGACCATGGGGAACAAAAGTAGCCACCCTCCAGAAGGAAGGACAGTGTCAGCACCAATTCAGAGATGATTTGGGGATCTACAGCCGAGTGATACACAAATAAGATACATTTTTGTTAATAATTAAGGTACTTGAATGCATTTTCAAGATTTAACTCCTGAGTTTAGTGTCACTTTAAAGCTGTATGTGGTGTTACAGAACCGTACGATTTTTACAAAGAACACTGGCAGCGCATATTTGTAATTCTTTTTTTCTTTTACAGTTTTCTTGGATTACATACAACAGCATCCCAATCTGATTCATTTCAGTTTACAGTTTGAAATAAAAGCTTTTTTATCAGATAGTTTTAGCCATCAAACTGTAATAGATTTGCTTTGCTTTGACAGGAAATAGAAATGGGCTATAGCTGTGACTGTTCTCTCTGATGCAAAACTGTCCTGCTGCTGGCCAATTTCCATCAAGCTCTCACTGAAATTTAAGAGACCAGAGATGATACAGCAGTGTAAAACTGACTAGCAGCAAAACATTTTAATGAGGGAGAAAGGACCAAATCGAACTAGAGAAATTAAAAAACAAGAATTAAGAGACTGCAGATAATGCAGCAGTGTAAAATTGGCCAGCAGCAGGAAGTTTTACTTAGGGATAGTAGGACTAAGTGGTTTATGCCTAACTTTTATTTTACCTAGGGGGGGGGGTGAATGTGAGTGATTTACTGTGAGGTGGTTAACAGATAATCAGTTCAGCTGTACTGTAAGTGAATTTGGTCATCGGTTTGAGAACCCCAAGATAAATTAAACCCTATCACTAGAAAATAATATAAAACCCACATAACAAATAAAAACAGCAAAATGCCACCCTTGAAACAAAAACCCATTTTTTAAAGGTAGGTAACAGGGCTTGTTCACACCAAATGCAGACCAGATTTGCATGAGCTTCTACACACGCAGTGCAGTGTGTTATGCTGTGTTTTTTGCCGTGTTTTTGATGTGTTCCGGGCCTTTATTTTCCCTTTAGTTTAAAATTGGCTTTCAGTGCGTTCCAAGGCGTTTGCATGCGTTTTTGATGCATTTGCATGCGTTCCAGAGCAGGTAAAATAGAGCTTGCTGCAGTTTTTTTTACATGCTCTGGAACTGAACGCTGCAGTGTGAACTAGAGCCCAAAATACCATTGGAATACATTGGACGCAGTTTTGATCCGGTCTGTTACTGCTCTGCTCCTGGAACGCGCTTGGTGTGAACAAGCCCTTACAGAAAGAAGCAGTTTAACCTAAAATAGAGGACATAAATAAAACACAATATGCCCCACCCAAAAATAAATGCAAACCCCAAAATACCATCCCCTGAAACAAAAAACAATTTTTTTTAAAGGTAAGTCTTGCAGAAAGAAGTCGTTTAAATGCATCGCTCCCGGTACCATAGAACGGGGAGGGGATTGATGAACGGAAGTTCGTCGACCTCCTCCCCAGCTCCCCGCGGACACCAAGATCGCCGGTCCCAGCCCGTAGGAGGGGCAACGGAGCCCGGGAAGCACGGCGGGGGGGGGCCCCTTCTTTGGGACACAGAAGCGATGTGGCGTCAGGTAAGTCGCCAGGATCGCTTCTGCTGTAAAGCCGACAGTCGGCTCTACAAGTTTAAACAGAGTCCCGGCGGCAAAAGTCACCGGGAGTCTGTTTAAACAGCCCCGATGCTGGCGACGTACACTGTACGTCGTCAGTCACGAAGGGGTTAAGTGACCACTGACCTCCAATCAACACAAAATAAAATGAAAGATAAAACAGCCCTGAATATCAAGAACTATAATGAAGGAGACATTAAATGCAATGATTGCCCACAAAGCTAGCAATCAGAATTAGCAATCAGAATTAGAGTACAGACGTACAGTGACCTGACTTCTCACCATGCAATTAGTCAACTTTCTCTGCAACAGCTTACAATTCACTAAGACTATGGCTGCTCTGTGCCCCCTCTTTTATAATGAGGGCAAGGCTTACCCAAAAGCCCCCCTTATTGACCCTTCTAAGCCCAGTGCCCATAGTTCAAGACTAATTGCATGCAGTGCATTATGGTTAAAAAAAATCTCCTGGGCGAATCTGCACATACATTTACCGGGACTGCAAATCTTGAACTCGCAGAATTCACCTCAAATGGTTATACCCATGGTAGCGGTGAACCTGAACCTTATCCATACATTACAATCATACACTGTTATTATGCATTTATACATATTCTGAGGTCTGTACAGAGAATACTGAGTTGTTCACATCAGTTTCTGCACCAGGGGAGCTTACACTCAAACGTCCCCTCTACTATCACACATAGGCTTTAAACTCAGGGCCTCAATACTTTAATTCTGATCTGTAAGCCTCTGTGTCACACTAATAATGGTCTGAGTTTTTGGTCTAGTGGAGCATTTTCTGTCACC